AGAGAAAACAAAGTGAATATCTAACTCCAGAATCTGGCACATGCGGCCTTCATGGTGTCCCTAGGAAGTGCTTCAGTCACCTCTTTAATCCTTTCAATCAGCTGGGCATGGTGTTACAGACAGTGTGGTTGATGTCTTTGTCAACTGCACCCCACACATAATAATCCATGAGATTACAATCAGGTGAGTTAAAGGGGTTTTCAGATGTTGGGGCTGATGAAGTGGTAAAAATTATCTAATAATCACTTCTGACTCTTCCTGGAGGTGTGGTAGGTAGCTGAATGCTGTTGCCACACATATGGTCTTCCAGCAGCCACCCTCTGTGACCAAAGCTTGACAACAATGTTCAGCAACTATCCATTGTCCTTTGAATTGAGCCTGAGACCTTGTTCAAAGATGTGAGGTGGCATGACATCACCCTCACTGGAGACACCCAAAAACCATCACAGTTTGGGGGAAAACTTGGTCTTCAGGACATGAAGCATGTCATATGGATTGTAGGCATGCCATCTGTTGTTCTGGGTGGTTTCTCTTTTTGTGATCATAGGGTCAATAGTGGTTTATGTAGCAGTGTTGGTTGGTATTTTTATTTTTTTTATCTGTTTGGTATAAATTGTGATAATAGGTATTTGTTTTCATGTCTGCATTTAGAAATTATTTCTGATCTTATGTTTAGTAATTTCTTTTGTTGGGCATATGGAAATTATTGCTACTTTTTTATGTAGGTAATGTAGGCATTTTTTTGTTATGTTGTTGTAGGCAGGTGTGTTTTTCAATATTTTCGAGCTTATTCTTGGTGTAATATTTCTGTGTTTTAGTAGCCATATGTATATGGATCAAGTAGTGCTGTTTGAGCATTTCCTGTCAGAGAATGAGAGGTCATGGTTGTGTTTTCTTTTCTTGAATGTTCCCTCAGTGGCACCGATGTAGTACATTGTGCTGTTGTTTGCACTTTATATATTACATTCGTTTGTTGGCAGTTCCCTTGGAGGCATGTTGTTTTATTTCTGCAGTTGCATTGTGGTTCCTTGATGGTGTTATTGCAGGTTGTTACATTTTGTTGTGGCTTTTTATTATTTGTGTTATATTTTTTGTACAGCTGTAACTAATTATTATGTTATTATTGTTGAATATTTTTGCAAAGTGGTTGGTTGCAGGGAAGTGTTTTTCCACTTTTTTTTAGTGCATTGTGATATGGCATTTTCTTGTTATTGAAAATGTCTGTTTGATGAGTTTTCAGATACCCTGCGGCTGATTGATATGGGTATTTGCTTGATGGTTGAAGGTGGATGTATGGAGGATATGTGTACATAAGTTGGGGTGTCATTATTTTTTTTGTATGGTTCATATGTATTTTTGTTCAGGTTGAGAGTGATGTCTAAGAAGTTTACTGTTCTTGCACCTGCATTTGTTTCTATTTTAAATTGTTTTTAGGGCGTTTACCATTTTTTTTTAATGTCTGAGAAATATCAAAGAAAATATAGGATATAGGTTCAATTCCTGTCAGAGGTGTGTTAAGACTTGCTTATTTTATTATTAAATATATTAGAATTCATTATTTATAACTTATATCATTCAAGTTCTACTAAAGACAAAAAATTAAAACATTTTAGATAAAAAACTTGAATTTACATAAACATGCTATGTATCAAGGGGGATAACTCTCTTCTTACATAAAAAAAAATCATTAGAATATATTATGAAAATAAACTTAGCTCTCACAATGTTAACATATAGGTTAAGACTATATATGTAATACATTTGCAGCCTACGCTTATACTTACAAAAATGAAATTAAATATACACACGTCATAAATTAATTAAATATGATCTATAATATGGAATTGTATAGATATTTAAAAGATTCTATTAATGTTGGGTTTTATGAATATTAATAGGTGTTCATATATCAATATTTGCAAAATCTATTTAGAAATTTATTTTTATTGGGTTCAAATATATATATACATATATTTTTAACCCAATTAAAATAGATTTCAAAATAGGTTTTGCAAATACTGATATGTAACATCTATTATTATTTACACACACACACATATATATATATATATATATATATATATATATATATATATATATATATATATATATATAACACAACAGTATTGGACTCTACATTGAGCAATAAGAATGACTCTTTAAAGCTTAACAGAAGTATTGTGATGAAATCAATTAAAAAGGAAAATGACATGTTCATCATTAATTAATCATATCTAAGGATTAGAAGCTCATGAAATATTGAAATAAAGTTTATATATATATATATATATATATATATATATATATATAATTCCATGTTCATTTTCCAACTTATTCAAGATAATCTTTGCCCACTCTAACCTTATAACTTTCTCTGTCCTGGAGTATCAAGGTGCCTTGTAGGTTTCATGTACGATTTCATTTTCAAGTCTTTTTTCACTTCTTTTTGGACTACCATAGCTGACACTCCTCTCTAACATGCTAAATTGAGTTGGATTTTTTTTTTAATTGATCTCTCTACCTCTAAGTTGAAATGATGATCCCTCTTCCTGTTGTGACCTCCTGATCCTGTTTTCCTCTTTACTGTTCCCTCTTTTTTAAATTTATTCACCACTATATTTATGGTTCTTGATTGGACTTTGAAGATGGAAGCTAGAGTATGAATATTGGTACCATTATTGAAGGCCTGAATGATCTTTTCCCTCTCACCATTGCTCAGTTGGGAAGACAGTGTGTCTGACACAAAGCAATTTTAACCTGCTCTCTTTTTAGCTGAATAACTTGAAGGGTTTTTCAGTGATTCTTATGAAAAATTGAGTTTAGATGACAAACATCTTATCTGAAAACCTGGTAAATAGAAACTCATTTAGCTTAGTGGTTTTTAGATATTAAATATTTTGTAACATGAACAATTATGCTGTTACATCCAGTATATGTATATGTCTCTGTGTATGTATGTGCGCATATGTGTGTATCTATGTGTGTGTATATTTGTGTGTATGCATGTTTATGTATGTGTTTATATATATTTGTATGTATATATGTTTGTATTTATTTATGTATGTGTGTGTGTGTTTATATATATTTGTATGTATATATGTATGTATTTATTTGTGTGTGTGTGTTTATATATATTTGTATGTATATATGTATGTATTTATTTATGTGTGTGTGTTTATATATATTTGTATGTATATATGTTTGTATTTATTTACATGTGTGTGTTTTATATATTTGTATGTATATATGTTTGTATTTATTTATGTGTGTTGGTGTTTGTATATATTTGTATGTATATATGTTTGTATTTATTTATTTATGTATGTATGTGTGTTTATATATATTTGTATGTATATATGTTTGTATTTATTTATTTATTTATGTATGAGTGTGTGTTTATATATTTGTATGTATATATGTTTGTATTTATGTATGAGTGTGTGTTTATATATTTGTATGTATATATGTTTGTATTTATGTATGTGTGTGTATTTATATATTTGTATGTATATATGTTTGTATTTATTTGTGTGTGTGTGTTTATATATATATTTGTATGTATATATGTTTGTATTTATTTGTGTGTGTTTATATATATTTGTATCTGAAGAAAAATATATACGGAAAAAACAAACAAAAATCCTTATATACAATTATGCTGTTTTAATGTTAATATGTCAACGTCGGATGTTTCAGTCTAATAAACCATCTTCAGGACATATTCATAAATTATAACATTATCAATACAACATGACAAAGACGATGTACATAAGAACAAGACTTATCCAAACAAATAACTGAAAGTTTTATAAGATCAGCGCTCCGTTTAAAACATGTTTACGTTGTCATCACGTGGGCGACGCTGTGAAAACGTATTCCTAAAATTTTAGTATTTTGAATGAAAAATGAAAAGAATTCTATTTAGAACTAAAATTTATATGTACGCTTGTCGAGCATTAATCTCGCTAGAAAAGGGGAAATACTAAAGAAACCAGGTCTAGTATTCACCGTGCATGAGATGGATATTATGTATATATATATATATATCCATATATTTGCTTACATATTTGTATCTATATATGTTTGTATTTATTTATGTGTGTTGGTGTTTATATATATTTTGTATGTATATATATATTTGTATTTATTTATGTATGCGTGTGTTTATATATATATTTGTATATATATATATATATATATATATATATATATATGTTTGTATTTTTGTGTGTGTTTATATATATTTGTTTATTTATATATTTGTATGTATATATGTTTGCATTTATGTATGTGTGTTTATATATATTTGTATGTATATATGTTTGTATTTATGTATGTATGTGTGTTTACATATGTTTGTATTTATATATATATTGTGTTTATATATGTTTGTATGTTTATATGTTTGTATTTATGTATGTATGTGTTTTATATATATTTGTATGTATATATGTTTGTATTTATGTATGTATGTGTGTTTATATATATTTGTATGTATATATGTTTGTATTTATGTATGTGTGTGTTTATATATATTTGTATTTATGTATGTGTGTGTTTATATATATTTGTATTTATGTATGTGTGTGTTTATATATATTTGTATTTATGTATGTGTGTGTTTATATATATTTGTATGTATATATGTTTGTGTTTATCTATGTGTGTGTTTATATATATTTGTATGTATATATGTTTGTGTTTATCTATGTTTGTGTTTATCTATGTGTGTGTGTGTGTGTGTTTATATACATTTGTATGTACATGTGTGTGCATATTTATATACATTTGTATGTATATATGTGTGCATGTGTCTACATATGTGTATGTATGTATGTATGTATGCATTCATAAAATCTATTACCACCTGTCTTCCATTTTAATTTATTCATGCTCCAATCGTAATAAGAAAGGGAAATAAATTACCCCTGTTCTCCTCGGATAATACTGGATCATTATTTGGATTTTCTTGCTGACTATGTTGCTTTACTTGCTTATAGCAAAGGCTGCCAAAAAGGACACTCCAATACTGCAGCAGCAGTGGTGGTGTCTGCAGTAGTGTTGCCACCACCAGCAGCAGCGGCAGTGGCAGGAGTGGTAGTGATAGTAGCTGCGACATCCATTGCCGGTACGGCAACAGGAATCTCTCATCACCTGTTGCTGGGAATGGAAACAAGGGACCCGGTTTCCTGTTCACTAAAGACTGGTCATCTGTCTTACCCAGTCAGTGCCCGGACGAGTGACCATTCTTTGCATTTTGTCAACAACAACACTGATGGCTTGGCGGCAGTGGGGGAGGTCAGGGTAAGTGATATAAATAACTTGTCACTGGAAAGAAGCTAAAAGGAGAAAAAAATGATGATGATGATGACATAATACTAAAACAAACGCCTCCCATCTTGTAATTAATATCGTTGTTGTTATTATTATTATTATTAATGCTGCTGCTACTTGTTCCCTGCTGCCTCTTACCCTCACTGCCGCTACCACCACCACCTTTCTGCTGCTCCTACCTCTGCTCACCACCTTGCATAGGTGATCAATGTCTTATCAGCTGGTCCAATTGACTGTTTCCACCCACTCTCTTACCTGTTGCTATGATTAGGCTTGTCATATTGACTATAGGTGATTTGCTTTATTTCTTTGTAAAATTTCATGCTATTTTTATCTCTCTCTCTCTCTCTCTCTCTCTCTACTGAAAGTAGTAAATAATGTGGAAAAAGTATTTTGAAATAAAGAAGAACGGAGATTATCAGGAGATATATCCGGCGTTGTCCTCTCAAAGATGCTGATGGAGTAAAATAAGAAGTCATAAACCTGAATGAATTGGAAAAGACGTTTTGTGTACTTCACCTTTTCTTACTTTCGGAAATTCACTATTATTTAGTCAGCATTGGCTTAACTGTAAAGTATTCCATTACAGAACTGTTATGATTTGACTTTGTGCCTCAAGATATATGCATCGTGAATGCACACACAAGCTACACACATACACACACACACACATATATATATATATATATGAGAGAGAGAGCGCACATGTTTGTAGAATACTGTAAATTTGTTTAACAATTCATTGGTTGTTTGAACTTCTCTTGGTTAACCTATAAATGAATTTTCTGGCAAACTTTGCTCAGTTTAGCTGGCTTGCTATTTGTATTGTGCAGTTATTGGCATTTCTGGAAAATACAGTTTTTGATTAAGAGGAAAATATTCACTATATTTTTTTTATATATATATATATATATATATATATATATATATATAATGTATGTATCTGTGTATATTATATATATATATATATATATAAAAGGAATTTTTTGTTTTTGATTTTTTACATTTTAGCAAAGGCTTATTTATGATAATTAAATTTTTTTTTTTAAATATTTAGAATCAATGAAATTTATTACTTTTATGATTGATGTTATATTCAGCAATCCGACTACAGTTTCGTAGATGGACTTTTTAGTAATCATGCTGTCCACTCTTCAGTAGGTATCAGCAATAATAAATAATATATATATATATATATATATATATATATATATATATATATATATATATATATATATATACAGCTTTTTGAGTTACAATGTTTGTTTCTGTTGATGATTTTTTCTTTTAAAACGTAAACATAGAATCAGTTTTTTGTTGTCATAAACTTTCTTTACTTGAGAATTTTTTCTTTTTAGTTTCAACAGAATATTGACAACTCTCAAAGTGGCTGATGCAGCAAAATTGATAAAACTCTTAAGAAAAAAAAATGCACAATTCTTTTTTTATATCAGATACTTGGATATTGCTAATACATGTCCATGTCTGATGGAATATATTTAAAGTAATCTGAACATTTCATAAAATTAGAACATGGAAAGATTACTTCCAGGCATTAAAACCTTAACACTTCATTAAAAGTTTCTGTTTGAAATCAAAATAAAGAATGATTATGATGTCATAAAATGTTGAACACATAGAATGATTGTATCTGAACTTTACAAGATTTTATCTATTACATTCTATCTTCGATTCTTGCTGACAAAGTAGGCTTTTTTTAAGACCCTAGCTGTACAAAAATATATAAAGAATCCTTTAGTAGTAATAATTCTCTATATGAATACACAACCAAATGCCATTAAGTAAATATATATTTATCCTACATTATAATATTGATAATTATAATTTACAACACTTTGAACATTTTAAAAATGAGACAAGGTAACCTGCAAGTTTTGTAAATAAACTAAAAAAAAGATTATGTTTTGGCTCAACTCGGCCTTGTTTAAATTGAACTGTTACAGTGTGAATGCACTGTCCATTTAATTATATTGGATTTAACTTGATTGGATTAAAAGATGAAATAGGAATTAAATCTGTCATTCATTTTGCATGATATATAGCAATCAATTCATATTACAAATCCTAGAAAACAAAGCTTTGCTGTAGTATTTTTTCAGTGTATGATTATCTACACATGCACTGAATGTTTAGATAAGTCCAATAAAGATATTTACTTTAATAATAATTAATTATTCCTCTGTCTTATAATAGTTGTTAAATTTTCATACACATTTCATATATTATTTAAATGTTATTTTAAGAAAAATATGCGTTCACAGCTCGGATTAGGACCTGGCAGGGGAAATCCTCATTAGATTGTTGGCAGGAGAAACTTGTTCAATCCAACATACTTTAGACTGACTCAGTCATGGAATGTGTCATCAATAAAACCAAGTTGAATAGTGCCTTATAAATGTAAATCTTTCTCTCACTCAGTTTCATATTCTAATGTAAGCAAAGCAATTTCTAAAGCAGTGTTGGATTTTTATTTCTTAAACCGACAGTTATTTTTAGTGGAGATATTTTTTCTTTAATAAGATTTATCAAATGTTCAGGCCATTAGATGAATAGAAATAAATGTAATTTTTAATAAATAGTGTCTACTCATATATGAGTATTGACTAAAAATAATGTTTAAGTAATAAAATCTGTCAGAAATTAAAATACATCACTTCTTTAGAAATTACATTTCATAAACTAAATCTATTATAGAACAATGCTAGTAATTATTCTTAAGGCAATAATTAAAATTCACCCTAAGATTTTCATTTTTATTTCAGTATAAGGAAATTTTCTGCTAAATTACTCTTTTTATTTTTAAGAGAGGACTGACATTTTATTTTTAGATTTGGTGGGGGTACTCAGTCATTTTCTCACCTATTGATAGTTAAGTAGATAAATTGTATATAGATTAAACAAGTTCTTTAGATACTCATGCTAACATTTTATATTCTTTTTGTTTTTATAACTATTTTAAAATGTGAGCAATTTATCTACTTAACAGTTTTTTTTTTAGTTATTCTATAAGTCCTCAAACACACAGAAATGTGTCTTAATCCTATTAAGACTTTTGTGTGTGTGTGTGTGTTTTTATTTATTTAGTTTATTTTTTTGCCAAACAAAATATTTTTTGCCTGATGTTTCACATCAAAAAGCCTCAATTTCCTGCTTTTTGTGAAGCTATTTGTGATCCATTTTAATTTGAATTTATTCTTTACAAAACTTTTAAAAAATGAGAGTAAATAAATGTAAAAGAGAGAGAGTGGGGGAAACTGGGAAGAACTTATGTACTCAATAAAATTTGAAACAAATTGAAATTGGCATAAGTCTTCAAAATTAAAACATTATTTTTATTTGGCTTTAACTCTGCTGATGTTTTTCTAGATAATCAATTAACATTGTTTACTTATTGTTTATTTAATCTCTTGATGAAATATACTTGTGTTTTATTGTTCTTTTCAGTTTATAAACATTCCAGCTTTTGGGATCTAAGTAGCTGCCTCTTGAAACACTTTATGGGGTCTTACTTAGAGCATAAAGAATATTATGTTTTTCTTCTTTTCATCTGGCTATCTGTTTTCAGCTTATTCTGTGCAAAAGATAACTGAAAATTTCAAATATGATAATTAACTTAAGTATTTTCTTTATACAAGGATTTTTTTTCCAGACAAGTATTTACATATTCTTTTTTCAACAATATATTTAAAATAAATGACTGAATAGTTTCAGCCATTTTTTTTCTTGATAGGTAATGTTAAATATTAGTACAAGGTCATATGTTCATATGTCATTAAATACAATAAATAATTATATTTAAAAAAAGAGTAAGATCATTTATTTTAGATATTTTTTATATAGAGTTTCTTACTTGGTCCATTCATGCTTTTTTTTTCTTAAATAAATGTACAGTAAAGAAAAATAGACTCTTCCACATTTTATGTGTAAAATTCTTTCTTAGCAACCAAGGCAACAAATCTGGATAACTATGGTGACTATTTCGACTGTTTTTAAGTATTTATTTGTATTTTAGAATATTTTTGCTGGTTACATAATGAAAATATTAAAAAATAAAAAAAAGAATAGGATTTTTTTTTTATAATGTAAAGTTATTTTTGGTGTAACATTTTGAACTGTTGAATTTCTTAGCACCATTTTCTTTAAATTCTAGAACCATTTAAATTTGAGTCTTGTGGCATTTTCATTCTTTGATTGAGCTTGCACATTTCATTCATTTCTGTTTTGTCCCTTTTCAGGCTGAATCGTTGTGCTTTTTTCTTTTAATCATAAGAATTTCTAAATTGAAATTTAAAAGGCACCCGCATCTGATAAAACACTTTAACAATAAAATATAAGCAATACTTGAGGTTAGATAGAATTTTTCATAATATACATTTTTTGTAAAAATAATTGTTGCATCTTTGCTTTTAAGCAAATATGTCTCCATTATTTATCTTCCATATTGAGGGAAAGTAAGTAAATGGCAAGATTTTCAAGTTGACTCACTTTTGAACTTATTTGGAACCTGTTTTTAAATGTAGATGTCATCAAAGAATGACAGAGAATCCTGCCTTTTTACTTGGTAACCCTTATCATGTCCAGTAACATCTGATGGTGTACCATGCTGATGTTTGTAGAAAAAGAATAATGTATATTTAACTGAGTTAAAAGCATCACTTAAAAAGAAAACAAAAAAAAAGAAGAAAACAGACTGTACCTGTCTTTGTGTGTGTATATCTCATAATTAAGTAATTCATTGAGTCTAGAAGAAACCTCAACAGAATGCAGAAAGCACTGGACTGCCATTTCATTCTATATTTGGGACTCATCAGCAGTGTGCATCCACTACCGAGAATTGAAACCCGAACAGTTACAATAGGATGCAAATGCCATAGCAACTGTACTAACGGTTCTCAGTGACCAAGAGGTAACATAGAAGGCCTGACAATTGCATATAGCATGAAACAGACTGTTACCTCTAAGTGTTGACTTCTATGTTCACTTTTATA